TGCGTAACCAAGTCAAGCAATTTTTGCGAGCTAGTTTGGAGGACATTCATCCAAATACCTTAGGCATTGACGATGCTCTTCTACACCTGTTCAATGGCCTTTCACTCTACGACGATCATTTCCGATTTGGAGGGATTCTTGACTATTGCCTTGAGAAAGGATATGTAAGTCGCTTAAACTAATCGGTCATGGATGGGCGCAGATTCTTCGAAAAATAAGCCTTCTGAAGTTCCAAAAATTACGTTTGCAGAGCTATTTAGAACAAATCTGTTGTAAATTAATAAATAATTTGTTTAATGTCCAAACAAATTTCAGGAAACATAAAGTCTTAGTGTTGGTATTTGGGTAAAATCCTGGTTAAGATTCTTCTCGTTAAGATACGTTCCTAACATTATCTAAACTCTTGCTAAAATCTACTTGAAGTTATACTCTAAGCCTTATAGCTAAGCTAAAGTCAAACGTTCCATAAACTGTTCAAGTGTTTCTTCACAGCGTTATCAAGCTGTTCACAGACTGGATCTTCTTTAATAGTGCTAATTATCGAATAAAATTCTTCAAAGTTCCTAAGGAACAAATTTAATATTCAAAATTTTAAAGGTCATTGCTGGTCAATCATTTAACCCCAATATATTCCATTACAATGTTAATATGGAGATATTGACATATGCTAATGAGTATATAAACTGTGTTGATATAATATATAAAGAAAGAATCAAAGTTGAATTTGATCCATACAACATAACAGGTAATTAGGTGTAATGGTGACAGTTAATTTTCTTAAATCATCCCGGTTCCACCCCTCCCCCCCTCCCCCCCCCCCCCCCCCCCCCGCCAAATGCGACTTCCGAACATTAAATAAGGAGGCGGAATTTTAACAAAACAAAATACCGTATACTTCCAGTTAAATGCCCATTCAAATAGATTGCCTTATGGGATGTAACATAAAATAGAATGCCCGGGCATCAGGGCTGGAGAAAAATATGCAGCAGCAATCCGAAGTCCGCATTGCGTCAAGCCCTGCCCGGGCATTTAATTAGAGTTGATACAGTAGGTAAACTTAAGTGTTATGCTTTTTGTGATTTAAAAAATATTTTTTTTTCTGAGGTAAACTCATTTTCCTCTCCTGTTAATTTTCCTAGCGGAATTAGATGATAAGTTGACAGTTGAAGTCATTTATGACTTTTGAAGTCATCTATTTACCAGTTTCGGTATTTAAATACGAGATACGGTACGGTACATCATTCAAATCTCTGATATTAATAAACAATCAGAGGATCCTCATCTTCAGAAATTTTTCCATTTAAGATGATTCCTACAAAGAGAATCGCGCACGTGAATTCCTCTATGCATTCATGCTTACAAAGCCTTTATTTATTGCAAATGAATTGACGAAAATGTTGGCTGATCCAAATTTACGTGAAGTAAGAATAAAGGACAGTGCTCGATTTTTAATCTTATTGATAGCTTCTACACAAAAATTTGAGGTGTTTAAAGAATTTTTAATATTTTTTGGCATTGTGCCATTTAAGGATTCTAAAAGCCTATGTAAAGCATATAGCTATTTAGTTCCTAAGGCTATGAAGTAGGAGGCGTTGAGTAATGGAAAACACATCTGTCCGATCTAATGAAGAGCTGGTTCGCTCTCAGCCGCCGAATAACCTTTTGTATTAGCCCATCCACTTTACTCTTAGTTTCATCCGTTTTGTATACTAATTAAAGAATGGTGAGTACAAGAATTGGGTCGGATTTTGAACATTTTTCTAGTATCGGGTTGAGAAATCGAGTTAAAATTCATAATGACGCGCATGAGGTGGATTGGTGGTGGATAGGTATTAAATTCGGGTTACCCTAACATTTATTTTCTGAATTATCAAAAATTCAGAGTTTATAAAGTATCCATGTTATTCTTCCAGGTCAAAGAAACTTTACTTTAAAATAGCACTGTTTTATCCTAATTTTTGAAAATTTAAGGAGCTTCGTCTTATTCGCCAATTAATGGAAGTATTAAATCCAACCAACTTTAATTTCGAACAATTACTAATGGAAGTATTCAATCCAAACACTTTTGAGTTCAAAAATTTCTTTACTGAAAGGGATGTTAAAGCCTTCCTCAATGATCGCTTCTATTTCGGATCAAACAAGTGGAATGGAGGTTTTACATACGTAAGTTTAGGCTCTGATAGAAAATAGTTGGGGTTAATTAGTCGAAATTTTCATTTTATTTACATTCACATTATAAATATCAACAAATGGTCAAATCAAATAAGCGGCTTTCAAACTTAGAAAGAAGTCATAATTTAAAAATTTTGACCATTATACACAGGAAGTATGAGTAATGCCAGAAAAATGCTTGCTCGTATAATTTTGAAACGGATCTTCCTCCCTCTATGATGTCCTCCCTCTATTATGTCCTCCTCCCTCTATGATCCTCCTCCTCCCTCTATGATCCTCCTCCTCCCTCTACATCCTCCCTCTATGATGCTCTCCTCCCTCCATAAGTGCATAGTGCATATCCGTTATCTCTATTGCTATCCGTTATTTTATAAGTGCATATGCTCCCTCAATATAAAACCGTGAACTTTACGCACTATCATGAGTTAAATAATCTTGCTAATTTTGTATAGACCAACGGCAATATTGATTCTATCAAAAATTGGAACAGCATAAGAGAGTTTAATATTCTTGAAAAAATGAGAGCTCGAGATGCAATACCATGGGAAATATCATGTGGTCATGCATGGTACTCTAATACTCGAGAACTTCATTATATGGTAGTAAATCAAGAGATGAGTCAAGACGAAACTTTTGCTATGCATTATTTGCTTTATCTAGCAGGATGCAGGTATTATTTCTCTAATAAAATACAACGAACATGTCCATTTAATATCTTGATATTAACTATTGTGATTGATCAAGTAGGATTGGACATTGGGGATGGGTAGGACAAAGGGTACTGGAGCTGAAATTCCCCTTTGTTCAGTTCCAGTTCCACACAGTTCAGTTCCAGTTCCATATACAAGGATGACTTAACCGAATTGATAAATGAATCTCTATATAGGACTTGTATTGAGTGAACCCATATAAATAGAAATAATGGTTAATCCATCTCAACGTTGGCATAGGTTCCGAAGTTCGTGATCATCTCTTGGTGATAATGTTAGGTACAGTTGGTGTCAATTTTAAGCACACTCACCATACTGCTACCACTGTACTATCGAAAGTATTGACTCGATTTTTTCGGTACTCCAGGTATTGGTATTGAAAAAATACATATGCCTATCACTAGCTGGTGACTCACGGTAAGGGCTCTAGTTGATCCAGATTCTACATCTGTCAAATCATGTGTTTACGTTGATTTTACTTTGTTGGATAATGGAAAAGAATGTAGAAAAACAAAAATTTAAATCCATTTTATAGTCTAATAGCAATTAACAACAAAATGTTAACCAATTATTCTGAGATAAAACAAGTCGAAGACAACCTTCGTTGGGCGACAATGCTTTCATTTAATGTGAAAAGGATACAAGATCGTTTTGGTCATACAAAAATTGAGGGAGCTCCTTATAATATAAATAAATTCCTTGTGAATGAATCAGAGATCGGCGAATTTTATAAAAAAGTTTTTCGACGAAGCTTCGAACTTGGTAAAATTTATAGAGAGGGCCAGCCCTGGTGTGGACTAAGAAGGATAATTTTTGGGGGATATTTTATAACAGCATTTCTAGCATTTATTTTAAAGGATCATCTCGATTTTTCACTGATTTTGATCAAATCGACTATCAAAGCCTTCCACAATATGTTGGAGGAAGTTTTGGATTGAATGGATTTTTCATTCGATTTTATAATTGGGCATTATCTATGTGCCCTGATGGAAATAAGACTAAGTATACTTAAATTTTACAAATGATTTTTCGGTATAATTTCGGAAAACGAACAGATCCGAAATAGGTCAAATTATATGTCATTCGAAAGAGCTCGTCGAGTTATGTCGAATGGTGAAAAAATTTTCGTGCGGACTCATAGAGGAGCTGAGATATAGGTCCGCAAAAATCGAAAAACCATAGGGGGACCAAGCACTTTTTTGGGGTGAAAAATTCGAAAATGCATATTATACCTCATTCGAAAGAGCTCGTCGAGCTGAGTCGAATGACACCAAAATCAACGAAATCTGACTTGATTTGACAAAGTTATGATCGTTTGTTTTAGCTCCTTACCTTTGGTATCCGTCGAGGTTTTTCCTGCTACGGAGGAAGCCAGATAACCCATTACAGCGATAATTGGAATAGGATTAAGTTACGAGCCCAGAACCCATCGCCCGTAGACTCCCCGCGAGGCGCGTGCCGCAAAACCCCGCGCGAAGCGCGGGGTTTTGCACAAGCGCCTCGCCTACGCCCCATAGGTTTACGTTGACCATTTTGAGCCTCTATCTCGGCTCAGAATTAAGATCTCGAGTTGATTTTGGTGTCATTCGACTCAGCTCGACGAGCTCTTTCGAAAAGCTATTATTTGCATTTTCGAAATTTTCACCCCAAAAAAGTGCTTGGTCCCCCCTATGGTTTTTCGATTTTCGCGGACCTATATCTCAGCCCCTCTATGAGTCCGCACGAAAATTTTTTCACCAATCGACTCAGCTCGACGAGCTCTTTCGAATGACATATAATTCGACCTATTTCGGATCTGTTCGTTTTCCGAAATTTTTCCGATTTTTCAAGTATCGGGTAGCCACCTGGATATTCGCTCCTTTATATCTCCATTCTCGCGATAGAGTCGGCGATTCAGCTGGAACGATTAGGCAACGAATAGGATCACTAGTAAGATCGAGGTATAAGTTTAATTTTTAGCAGGGTAATCTGTAGGCAGTTATTGCTATAGGACATTGCTATTGCAGTTATTGCTCTAATGACAGAATACCTGAACGCTACTTTCACTTATTTTTTGTCTAAATATGTAATAAGTAAAAACCCCAATCGTCGGGGATCGGGGTTTGCCACGGTAGAGCCTTCGTGATTTGGGTTTCTGCCTAAAAATTCGTCAGGGTTTCGGGCACGGGGTGCTACCCTATCCTAAATCTCTTAATTTTCCTTCGCCTATATTAACGATTCTAAATGATATCCTCTATTTACTATTAAACGAATACTAAAAATTTCAGTTTTTGCAACAACTGGCGTATTTATTTTAATATTTTTGATACTCTTCGTGACGTAAGCATAGAATATGAAAATATTGGAATTTTATTTGCACAAATTTTTCACTTTGCTAATACTTCTGGAGAATTATTTATGCATATTATCACAACAATCTTAGGGCAACTTGGGCATTACAAACCAAAAGATAACATTAATGTGATTGATAATGAAGTCAATTCTGCAAGGGAAATCGTAGGCATCTTTGTTAACAGATTTAAGAATAAAAAAATGGACGACATTGAAATTGTCAATAATACTGGTCAACTAATTATAAACACTCAACGTTCTGGATTTGCCCCGATGAATGATCCTAGTAAAAAGTTATCAGACTTTTACGAATCAATAAACAAATTCGAGCTAAAAGGAGGAATTTTCAATCCAGTGTTTGTTAAAATTTAAATTTTTAAAAATTTTTTGCCTAGGGATTACCATATTTTATACAATAATTCTGCCTTACAAATTAGAATTGAACGGGCGTTCAAGAATACCGTATGATACCATAATAATACCGTATTTTTCGTATTCCATATCTGTGTTCCATATTGTTAATACATTATTGAATACGGTACGAATTCTTAAAAATTGCACCCCTAGATTTATCTAATAATTACTGTGCCGGTTGTTTCGTTCTAGGGACGCTCCAGTTAGGTGTGGGTTGGAAAATTGTTGGCACTTAGGTTAAAAACGCAATAGAAAAATAAATTACTTATTACTGATACACTAACTCTCTTAACACATCATATCAGAGGATACAATTATAACAAGGAAAGACAGAGACAAGCTGAGCAGGGAAGGATGGCAATGGCTCTTTATACAATTCAAGGATTAGCACATTTGTTTTATGTTGTGTGGCCTATAGCTCAAAACGTTCTTTATGAAAAAAAATGCTATTATGATGGAGATTATACAATTTACTTTTTGGAGGAAGTTTACTTTAACTTTATCTCAATTAAATTAAAAAAAAATTTTAGCAGGGCAGAAATGAAAATGAAGATTGGCTTAAATTTGCAACAAGACTAAGTAAGTTTTCACAAAAAATTGCTGTCATATTCTATTTTGTGCAATATCCTAGGATATAATAGAATACCATAAGAATATAACAATTTTATCTTAAAAGTCAATAGGCAGGTCAAAGCGTTAGAAAAAGCGCTAGATCGACTCAGTTCAAAGCGAACAAAGCATTAGAACACATATTTATTACTTTCTTAAAGCTCCAAACTATATTAGAAAAAAATAATAAAATTTCTGGAATATTTTTTAAGGTCAACCAACATTCGAAGGTGAACGTGGTGGTATAAGAGGCCCTATGGGACATGGAAAAGATATGAGACCATGTAACGATGATTGGATAACATTTTATTTGGCAAGAAAATATGGAGAATTTGAATATTCCTTGGCTGAAATAATGCCTCCTCGACGGCCAGGTTAGCATTTAAAATGCCGTTTTTTATATTAGAACCTAAACTCGGTAAGTGACAGATCGGAATTTTTTTAAATATTATAATGAAAATTATTATTAATTCTAATAAAAATCCTTTATTATAATAAATACTGTGCTAAATAAGAATAATATTGTTTAAGCACATCTTTATCCAGCAACTCAATATCCAGGTAATTATAAAGTTGAATAGGAGCTAGGCAATTTATCATTAATAATATCATTAATAATTTAATAATTAATTACTGACAATAATTACCGTATTTTTTAAATAGAGCCACGATTTGAGTTAGAGCCACACGCTTAAATAGAGAGATCCCTACGCATAGATTTTTTTAAATTTAACTAGACTATAACAAATTGTTAATTTTAAAATATAAGTTTTCTTATTATTCCATGTCAAAAAGCCCCCTTGTATATAATCGTTCAGTGCCATAGTTAGGGATTAGATGTGATTAAGAGGTTATTTTGGGATTAAGGTTATTTGCCTTTAAACCCCTTTAATTTCAAAAGCGCCTGTTTAATCTCCTTATTCTACAAAGAAAATGTGCAAGCCTTTTTTTACTGCATTCCATAGAGTTTATATTCGGTCTCATGACAGAAAATTCGTGGGATAATAGGGCCTCTATTGGGAATACAGCTTAATGCAAAAGGCATAGAAAATGATCCTGATATACAATAATTTTTAATAAATTGAAAGGAGAATCATCATACGGCCAAGCTGGTACATCCGGGGCAACACCTGTATTTTCTACTTTACATGGATTTGGTAAGTTTTTCCTACTTTACTAATAACATTTTTGTACCTTGTGGCTTATATTAGTGTTAGCCAACTTAGATATCCCTAATTAATATAGACAGCTCCACATCCTCAAAAAAATATTTTTGACCCCTTATATGTTGATTCGAATTTTTAATTTAGGCTTATCTAAAAGCCTTTGAAATTTTCCACAAGTAGCCATAATCTTATATTACAGAAAAAATATTCAAGTTATTAAATATTAAATTTCTGAGGCACAAAGAAACGCCTAAATGGTTTAGATAAGATTGTAGAACGAAATCTATGAATTCAGACATAGGATGGAAGAGATTTTATAATTTTAAAACTTAAAACTATAAGTGTTCTTTCTTATAACCGCTGAACCAATACGACTTTGAAGTCATAATATACATATAAATAAACGATTTTAGGTGAAATCTCACACGCTGGTCAGTTTTCATCTTCGGGCACTCCACAACACCATGCCGGTACATCTCAGGGCACTCCTCAACATGCCGGTACATCTCAGGGTACTCCCCATTATGGTGGACAAGCTCAAAGAGGTAGGTTATTTCTAGATCCAAAAGGGATGGGTATATATAAATTAAATAGTTAAGTGAAAATCTGAATATGCTTATGGAATAAGTTTTGTGTATCACATAGAAATAATGCATATTTAGCACCCGATTTGTACTTAACTTTTCGAAAGTATGTAAAATTAATTTTAAAAATCTACAGTTAGAAAGCAAAGGAAGAAAGGCTTTTTATCCTCAATCTTCTCTTGTCTCAACCCGAAAACGAAAGATGATCGTCGCCGTAAACGTTCAATTTCAAACATATTTCTGGATAAAATTGTACGTCAGAAACGTATGTATCAGACCGGTCCAAGCGGCAGTTCAAGCACACCACAACGCTTACCGGGCACACCAACACGTGGCTTGACAGTATATGACTGTGGATATTGGTTGGCTCCAATCTGGTTTGGATTTAACCTAATGTTGTTCATTCTTGGCTGGATGTTATTGTCTATTCAATATTATCCAATGTTCTGAGGATAAAAAGAAAGCGAAGTTGAGGAAATCAAACTGAATTCCAGTGATATTTTGAAAAAATTTTTGGCGTTTTTTAAATTGTCTTTTGCGCCTGTACCTGATCCGATATTGTTGACCCTCGGATCCATTTTTTGATTTTATCGGCTTATATTCCCCCGATAAATGTAAACAAGTTTTTATAAATTGAATTCTAACAGTACTTTTAAAAACTATGATAAGGTATTGTGCGTATGTACAAAAATACCGTATTCTGGAATAGCGAATGCTTGACAAGCAAAAAATTCCCGAGTTGGAAATCGGGAAACGTCGTGGATTCACGAATTCGGGAAACGGAACGGCTCCTTCCCTTGTATGTCCCATTAATTGGACTATTCTCTTTTACAATTTTACATGATGTTAATAAAAAGAAATATTGTAGGTATCACGCTGATTTTCAGTCATAAACTATATGCCCAAAATAAATAGAAATATTGACCCAAATTTCATATCTTAACATGGTATATTGAAATAGGGTACAAAAAAGACCTTCGTCATGAACAAGCCTTGACTGACCAGTGTCTGACCGTTGAGTTCTAATAGAAGAAAGACAGAATTGACCATAATGAAAAATGGAGAGACATTGGTCAGTTCGCGGGCAGGGTCGCTTCAGTGATTTATTTAAATATCAAATCCGAGCCCTAATTATGAATGAAAAATGACGGAGCAGTTCAATTGAGTCCGCACGATTGAGTCCCCACGATTGAGTCCGCACGATTGAGTCCCCACGATTGAGTCCCGGCACAATTGAGTCCCCACGATTGAGTCCGCACGATTGAGTCCCCCTTGTATATACCTCAATTGAGTCCCCGTGGATTTAATAAGTTTAAAATTTCCATATCCGGCATGCGGGATTATTTCAATATTTCTATTTTTTAAAGTATAAATGCCGGGCAGACCACCTGTGCACCCCTGCTGCACCCCACATACCCTCCGTAGCAGCACAAAACAGTTTTCCAGCGCAGATTCAGTTGGTCATAACTTTGTTCAGAATCATTGAATCAAGCTGATTTTGATGTCATTCGACTCAGCTCGTCGAGCCCTTTCGAATTAGCTATTTTGTGTTTATTCGAATTTTTCAACCCAAAAAAACCACCATGGATTTGACCATTTCGAGCCCCATATCTCGGCGAGAACTTGTTCAACAATGTTGATTTTGGTGTCATTCGACTCAGCTCATTCGAATGAGCTGTCATTCAAAAAATCTCTCGATATCCCTCCTAATCCCCAAATCCACCGATATCCCCCTTAATCGCTTAAATCTACTTATATCCCTCCATATCCACCGATATCCAACTTGATCCCTCGATGTCGAATACAAGTCCCCTGATGTTCACTTTAATCTCTAAAAATCCCCCGATATCCCTCTTAATCCTTTTTAATATAATTAAATCCACGGGGACTCAATTGAGGTATATACAAGGGGGACTCAATCGTGCGGACTCAATCGTGCCGGGACTCAATTGTGCCGGGACTCAATCGTGGGGACTCAATCGTGCGGACTCAATCGTGGGGACTCAATCGTGCGGACTCAATTGAGGTGTACCGGAAAAATGAAGGACTTATTAACAAAAATATACAGTTCGAAACATAATTAACCCTTCATATTATCTTTATTTACAAATCGAAAAATCCAAAAAATTCTTTGAACATATCTATCAATATCAATAGAAAATATAAAAGAAATGAAGTTCTAATGTGATTACTAGAGCCCGGATTTTTAGGTTGTAAAAACCTTAAAATAGGTACATAAATAGGTTTTAAAAAATGCCAAAATAGGTGACAAAAACTCGAAAATATTCAAAATAGGTTACAACCTATTTTAGGTTTCAAAACACCAAAATAAATTACAATAGGTGATAAAAAGTCCGCGTAAAGAAAAGATTTTCAAAAAATAACAACGGATTTGAGCTCAATTCATCATAACTATTACGCAGAAAAAATAGGTTATAACCTAAAAATCCGAGCCCTAGTGATTACATCGAGATCTCAAAACCCTAAAATCAACAGGACCCTAGTTGCATTAAATTTTATTTTATACTTTTCTGCAGTTCTTAATATTCTAATATCTTTAGCTCCGCTAAGATAAATCTTTATAAAGAGGAGTTACTTT